TTTTTAACGGAGATATCATCGGTTATGTCGAAAACACAAGGGTTATTTCAATAAGCTGTGATTGGCGAAAAAAATCGTAGGAACTTCTTTTTTTCTTTAAATTGAAGAGAAAGTATACACTTTTTGATACCGTAAGCAGAACTGGCGAAGAAAAATTACTACACTCCGCACAGTGCGTCAAAATGTGCAATTTTTTAGAGAAAATCATGGTCATGATTTTGAGAAAGTTCCGGGAAATGGGAAGAGTGAATGCAAATTCCAATAAGAGCTTCTTAAAGCAGAGGCTTTGCCCTATAAAATGAAAAAAAAAACTTTTCAATTCGACCAGTTTTCGCGAAGTTACGCTTATTTGAAATTCGCCAAATTTTGATGTAAATTTCTTGATGCGTTAATTTTTTTGACCAGTGTATAATTTGAGTAGCGCTTTCGCTGCTGCTATCGTTACAATATTCTCAGTTTTTTAAGCACTGCGTATATCCTGTACTATTGCACGCGGAAGAGTTTATTTCTGCGAAAGAAGAAAATCGTTTTAGAAAGACGTTTTCAAGTACGTTTTCTCGTGCTTGCACTTTGATCAGACATTAAGATGAAAGTGCAACTCTGAAAAACATTGTACAAGTAGTTTCATAATGTTAAACAGTAAATTAGCAAATATTATTTTACTTAATCTTAAAAGAATTAGTTGAATACATTATCAATGGAAGACTGCAATTCTATTCGAAATTGCGAGGAAAAAACTTGAAACTGACTTTTATGACAAGGCTACGCGAGATCAGTGTCGAATTTTTTAATTTGACCATCTTAGTGTACAATTTAAAAAATGCAAAGCATAAATGAATATTGCTCAGAGGGATACCGAGGGATACCTAACAATAATAATGAAACGTTGCAGCACGTTTGAACATGTACGCGAAAGTGTAGTTGAAAAATGTAGATTAACACGGGAGCGTTAAGACGTGTCGTGCATTTCCGTAGGAAAGAGCAGTACGCGATAGTGGAAACGCATAACAGCAGATGCATCGTTAGCCGCAAACTTGCTCCACTCCTTTTTTCTCTCTCCCTCTCCCTATTTAGTTGCGTGCAAGGAAGGATAAGCGGCGGTGAGCAGGAGGCGAGCGATTACGTAAAGTGTGGCGGCATTTAGCTCAACTAATTGCGCGAGAACCACGGCGAAAGGGAGGGCGGGATCACTCGCGCGCGCGCGAGCAGGCACGCTGACGATCGCATGTGACGATCCTTTGACACGCGACGCCGACTTTGACACAACTCGACTCGGCCGACTCGTTAGTAACGCACGCGGCCAACATATGTCGCCTTTCAGACAGCGCATCGGGCTCTCTCGATTTCTTCCAATATTTGCGTCCAAATTAATTCATATATTTATGTGATATACATATGATGTAATGAAAAACGAAATGTCGACACAAATAATAAGACATTTAATTGACAGATAGTATCGTACGATATAGTATTGTGACTTGACGCTGAAACCTCATCGCTGGAAAATTTTTACGACGAGCATTGAAATGATAAATAGAGACATTAGAGACATTAGAGACTCTCGTGATCGATTAAAAGAAAAATATGAAAAGAATGCGAAAATGATAATACTTAAATGAATCGCAAATTGTTTTCTTTAAATGTTTTTAATGTAAGTATATGCATACAGTGATAGACCATACTAGCTCCGATTAGACTTCATCACAAGTATCGTATTTTCTAGGCATGTGCGCCCTATCTATTGTTTATTTATTGAAAGAACAACTAGAGTCCCTATATAATCAAATTCTGCGAGAGAGAAGGATATACATTCTCTCTCCCTCCTTCTCTTTCTTTCTTTCGAAGATTGCCATAAATCGAAGGATCGGGCAAAAATTGTTGTCCGTTGGCTCTGATTTGAAAGGGCTCTAGCCCATATTGCAATTTTTCACAAAACGCTACATCTTAAATCTTATACATGTATTAAAACGAAAGAATTGCGGCGCCTATGTTTGGTAGCATTGGATACGGTAGGGACCTCTCTTGTATCTCACAGGTACTACTATTGAATGGGTAGAAGACGATTATAGCGATTGCTAGCTTGGCTACAACTGACGCTATTCTCGTATTTCCCATAAAACTCTATAGATATTATAAAAGTAATGAAATTCTTTTATCTTGGTCTACAAAACTGCATCTATAAGTTATATTTATACAACTTACATTTGATACAACAAGAATAAATTTCTCTTATTTATACATCATAATCAATTATCGATACATCTGTCGTTTATACATACATATACTAGCCGCCTTACCCGGCTATATTCGGGCTTCCTTTCTCTTGAATCACCTTTTTTGAATATCATTCTTGTTCAACATCGTTTTGTAATTTCTCTTTACAAAATTATAGGTTTTTCAAAAATACAATTCAGAGTGAATTTCTTTGAATCACTGGCAGAATGTTATGTTCAACAAATTATCTATTCTATTGTATTAATTCTTATATACCGTGTATTCACATTTATTGATTTCTGAGGACAATTTCTGGCTAAACTAGTTGTACTAATTAGCCTATATTTTTCGCAGAATCCTACTGAATAAAAGATCGGCCCACTGGTATAGAATTGTACAAAGAACATTTCATATGTTTTATGAAATAATACATTACGAATAAATGCTACGAATGTATAGATACGTGGTCGTTTTAATGAAGAAAAAAAAACTTTAACGAGTATCATACAATATTAGTAAGCATCAAATAGGTAAATATTAAATGCTGTTTTATATGTATATCGTATTTAGCGTTTCGTATTTAGCGCCCAACCATTATCGCGTCCACGAGACAGAAATAACGACCAAGCGAGATGCATTTGATTCTGTGGGCAATTCTCTCGAATCAACGAACCACCGTGAAAACGGCCGATCTCCTCTCCGCCTCGATGTCGCAAACAAAACGCCTCTCCACGGACTCGTGAAATGCTCTTCAATGAAATTTCTGCTCACGCGTATGCGTACCACGGAGCGCGAGTACTCGGCTGAACGGATCGAAATTGCTCGATCGCGCTTTTTGTTTGTGGTCACTCTTGAGGTGAGCTCGAGAACAAAAAGGCGCCCTTCCATCGAATATATTTTTGCTTTGATTGAAAAGCCCCTCCCATCTCTCTCTCTCTCTCTCTCTCTCTCGTAAGCACGGTTTTTTATTAACTGCAAGAGCTTCATTTTCGCTCTTTACGTTAATACAAATGTATATTTTCTCATTGCACGTACATACAACAAATATGACTTTTCCGTTATAAAGATTCTCGTCAAAAACGGGCCCCCTTATTGTGGGAAGCTACTTATCGATATGCTGCATACAAGCGCAAATGAAACTTATTTGTCGAGAAAGAAGATTTTAATTCTTATCTTATCGTGAACAGTAGCGGATTTATCGGTAAGCTACTGCTAATGAAGAGTCAAGTTTCTCGGACATGTACATACGCAGAACCGTTTCCCGATTGTTGATGTATTTCTGTTTTTTATTTCTCTTTACCCTCTGAAAAATAGTTTCTGAAAAAATGTCTGTTATTTAACCGAACGATAAGAATGTTAATTAAAATTGACGATTTCTGGATTGTCAATTATATATTTCTGTATCAACGTGTAATTTGTATCACATTTTGTATAAAATACAAAATAATGCCTCTTGATAAATTCCTCCATTGACTTTGTTAATAATGAATAAAACAAGTGTACTCGTTATATATTTCGCAATGAAACTTTTATTGAAAACAAATTCCCGCAAATATTAACTATAGGCTCTCGAGTATATAGACCCGTCTCTGAATGTGATTCAATACATATTTATACCGCAATTAGCATCAAGTAAAATAGTCGGGATAACGCTCTTATGTAAAGAAGTCGTGACCAAACGCTTTGTACTCGTAGCCTCAACTAATTAAATATAAAGTTTGAGTAAATACTAAATATAAAAATCAATTATACGGAATATAAATCTCGTCACATAAAATCGTAAATAATAAAACTTTACTTGAATACATATGTTAACGTATGTATAGATGTGTGTGCGTGTGTTGTTTTTGTATTTAATTCAAATAAATTTGAAAAAATTTCCCTTTACGTAATTATGTTACAAAAGGAAGGTAACTGTGTAATGAGACGTAGGTCGTTGTTATCTAAACAGCTGAATCAGTGTAACGATTGCAAGTGTAAAGAGAAAGAAAAGGTCTAAAAAGAAAAAGTTGATTCGCTACAACACTGCTCTTGTGAAAACAATCCGTATGTCATATATGTACTTGAAAGATTCGATTAGAAAAAATGAGCAGTATCGATTTATGGATGCGTGACGTCCTCGCAAGTTACGGAGTAATCGCATCGATCATTTTATGCGTCGTAATCTGGATAATTCAGAAGTGGCCAACGTTGCGGAAGGACACCTACAGAGCTCATCTTCTGGGATTCGAGATGGAATGCGCCGAGCTGGCCAGTCCATACAAGGAGCATCTCTTTAAAGCGCTGCAATATATCGTTTCCAACGACGAAATGTTGCGATCAATGGGCTGTATTCGTATCCTTGAAATTGGTGTTAAAACAGGTAGTTTATACGAACGAATACGCGGTGTTTCCGCGACATCAAGATTCAAGATTCTCTCTCTCTCTCTCTCTCACTCTCGTTACTCGTTACTCACAATCAGAAAAGAACGGTTGACAAACGTTTGCCTATTATCCGTGTTTAGACCTTCCGTCTTATTTCTTTTCATCAAAAGCATTTTACGTCTCTTAAAATCTAGCAGTAGATCATCACTGAAAAGCAGTGATCGTAAGTGGTAAACTTATAATTTTAATCAGTAACTTTAAGAGAGAGGTTTGCAAGGAAAGAATGTGCGTAACACCCTTTCACCCTTTCCAGTACATTTCAAGTATACTTAATACATAAATATTATTAATATTATTAACGTTATTCGAGAAACATTAGTTTTTCTTAGCTTTGACGTAAGCATATCTTCGTAGGCGAAAACGTACAGTTTTATCCGGAGGGTACGCACCTTATCGGCGTCGATTGGAATATCAAACTAGGCGAATATCTGGTCAAAGGAAATCGTTCATGGCAATTTTCTCATGTGATTATCGAACGATTAATAACGGGCGACGGGAGTTGCTTGAAGCAAGTGTTAACAGGATGTGTGGATGCAGTTGTGACAACTAGATCACTGTGTTCTGTTAAATCGGTACAATCTACCCTTCAGGAAATTCGACGGGTCTTAGCTCCGGTAAGATTTATCTGCGCTCATTTTAAAGTCTATCAGAGTTACTCGTAATGTTGTAAATAGTTACAAATTGTTCGATAAGCTTTTGACTAATCGCGATTTTACTTATTAACTTGCAAAAAAGAAAGTAATATCAAGTAAAATCCCAATATAGAAAGAATATACGAGGATAGAATTTCGGCATCTAAATTATTCAAAAACCACCAAGTATGACTTAAAAAAAGTAAAACATCTTTTCCGTTTTATTGCAAACTTTTAGGGCGGAAAGTATATTTTCGTTGAACACGTCCCAGAGAAGGAAGGCACTTTTATACGATGGTTACAAATAGCGTTGACGCGAACCGGCATATGGCCTGCTTTATTTGGCGATTGTCGTTTAAATGTTGACTGCGTTGCGGATATAGAAAAGGCAGGTTTCAAGAAAGTCTCGTGGACATTATTCTCTCTGGAAGGATATGTGTCACATCCGCTTCATTTGACTCTCTCCAGACAGCACGTATTTGGCATAGCAACAAGATAAAGAGTCAGCATGTATCGTCGACGTAATAAACATGAAATTTTCAACATCAACAATTTTGTATCGATAAAACACGCGTATACGTGTGTACATACATATAATACAGTGACGATCGCCGCTGACATATAAATTAAACGTCTCTTTGCGTGCAAAGAGGATTTTGCTATTCGCTTTAACATTTCTATATCTCCTAATCTTTTTAAAGAAAAACCAGCCATCTAAACACGAAACGCAGCCTACATAAGCACACGGACACACATCTGCATCACACCCATACATAAACGCGAAAGAATCCCAATTTGGAGGGTTTTACAGTAATTTTACATGTAATCCAATCCCAGGAAATTCACTTTCATGTGAGTACAAGTTGTAAAACTTTTATACGAAGCATCAGTTATGACGAAGTGACAATTCGTCTACTCTACAAGGATATAACTAATCAATATATGAATTTTGAAATTTTTACTCATTTTTTGTATAAAATCGGAGATTCCTGTAATTGTACGCAAGCATTTTTGATTTCATGAATTTAATACGACGAAAGGTTATAACTAGAAAAATGTAATTCTGTCGGTAATACAGACGGCTGAAGGATCCTCTTTATAATGTTACCAAACCTTTTAAATAACTTTTCTTAAGTTATTAATTTAGTCTAAGTAGATGTAATTTTTTAATTGCGCTTCTGTTATTAAAAATTGCTTGGCATAGCTCTATACGTACTAAAATATTTTAATAGTGCCAGCAAATATAAACTGTAATTATCCGATGTGATCAAAGTATCAGATTTGTCTAAATTGATATGACTCGTTTTATGTAATTAAATACTCATGTACAAAAGTAATTATATGCAACTGGTGTTAGCAAGGAAGAATTAATTTCCAAAACTTAATTTGCGCCTTTACGCAGTATACATCTTGTAATATTATACACATATGCGCGCGTATGAATGGGTGTGTCTACGTGTAACACACGGGAAATTGATATAAAAGATTATAACAACTTGTGAGTCTAGAATATTTTGCGTGGTTAACATTACAGAAACATACCATTAAATTTTTATATCTCATACATAAATATAATAAATTTATAATTCGCTATTATTATAGATAAAAGGAATATAACTAGCTAAAACGATCTTGTCTCTATATTTATAATGTTGTGATAATTAAAATACGCAACATCTTTATGTTGATACAAGCACAAATAACACTGTACATGTCGAGCTCTTCCAGCACACATTGTTTGTAAATGTATATAAGAGTATTTATATTTAAAATTACAGATATGTATACGGAACATCTGTTATACAATCGTATCGTTTAGTGTTTTATAGGTAATTATTATACACAATTCTTTGAATTAGCATATCGGCCCTATGTAATAAGTAGGATTTCTCGG